CTCCGAGAATAGTCGGAGGCAAATGTGTTAAAGGACTTTGCTTCAGACCCTGATTATCTCTGCCGAAGCTCAAACGGTGGCACGGAATCGGGGACGCTGGAGACACTGTTTGACGCATCTGCTTCCATGGCCTGAAAGGATAAACCGTCATCCACACTGATTGTATGATTAGGAAACTTTTTTCTACTTTATTGCCATCACAGTATCTGTAGCAGATTCGGTTGCAAACATCGGCATGATAGACGTTAGATCATATCTACAGTACTGGAATAACCTAACCGAGTTCCAACTTGCAAATCATTCTGATTTAAACAGCCACTCAAAAAACTTTTCAGTAAGGAAGGTAGAGTATTTCCTGAGTGCGTTTACGGGTATACTGAAACCAGCATAAAGCATGGTTTAGTTGTACTCTGCGCCGGTAGCCCTTTTGGCTTCAAAAAAACTTTACAGTAGGTAAAGTTTTAAAAACTTTATCGGGCCGAAACGTCGATAATTGTCAAAAATTCGATTGAAAAATTGTTATCGTGTACATACACAACCTGCGATTGATGCTGTTTTCAAAAACTGCAGATGTAGATAGCTCGTAATCGCAAGCCATTTTGTAAGATTGAGAGACCTTAGTCCAAACCAGAGATAAGCATGAGTCTTGCGTTGATGAAAACTGTAGAGACAAAAAAGGTTTGTGCAACTGGATTCAAAGACAACTATTAATAGCCTGCTGTTCCATCACCTAGTCTTTCTGCGGTTATTGTCTGTCAGACACTTCACTTCGTTCGATCCCGGGAGCAGTGAATAAACAGTCAGAGTATTTTGTTCCCGTATGGAAATGTGACTCCAAAACCTCGCTGAACCTTACCAATAAATCAGTTTTCCCTCTCGCCAGTGCTTCGCTGCCGCGTTGCGCATTTCTTAGTGCCGCAGTTGAGTTGAAATTTCTGTTTCCACGTTCCCATTTTAATGCAGCTTTTTCTCCTTGACAGCCAACTGCGCCTTGATTGTCCACCATATGGTTCTGGCCACTGGGTGGCAGGGTAATCCGGTTAAACTACGTTTAAAGGTTGCCACAGGCAAACCGCTGTTACTGAGCTCCCGCTCAGTTTCTACCCAAGCCGTCATCACTAAGATCTGTTCAAACTGTCGAACAATATCCCTTGTAAGTTTGTCAACGTATCTCCAGAAGGCGTTGTTTCCCAATTGGTTTTCTGGTTTTCTGCAGCCAAATCTTCGCTTTTGACCGATCATTTGAAGTAGAGAATGTCAATAAGATGACGATCGGGCTGACGTCTCTTCGGTTGGGACGGTACATAATTTCCGAACGCAGCAGACAAAATGAAACTATTCTTAAATAGATCATTCACTTCTGCGCACAAATTTCTTTGTTCGATGTGCACTGATGCACTTTTCGATGTTCGAATAAAGTATTCATAGCAGAAAATCCACTGTTTGCACCAAATCTCGAAATATTGAGTTCATTATTGTTGAGGTAAACTCTATTTAAATAGAACTTAAGCAAAAGATATTCTTTGCTTTCATTATTTATTTTGCAACAAAATAATATTGAAATGCAAATGATTTTATGAGAAAATATTTCTGAAATTGAATTTATGCAATAATTGTGCTTCTGGGTGATCAAGCTAAAAAAAGGACATTACCGCCTGAGTACACCTGCGTAATTTGTTTCTATGTTTCTTGTGAAATAATGACATGAAGAACCTTTTGATCGTACTACAACCTACCGCGTGCATTTGCTCTAGTTGGATCATCCACCGTCTGGCCGCTCATTTCGCGGATAGCTACACATCATAACTGGCTGATTGCTCATCAAAATGACGACAAATTTTTACGGTGCCAAAAAATCGGCGTCTTCGGATGACGTCTATGACATGAACCGGGTTCACGAAGAGTTGGAAAAGCTGAACATTGCTACGGACATTATTAACAAAATGGAGGTACAGTTGGACGAGGCACAGGCTGTTTTTCGGGAGGTGCAGATGACGTGGACTCAGCGTTTAACGCAGATGGCCAAAAGACTGGGTGGTTGTATCGAAAAATCGCGGCCTTATTATGAGGCCAGAATTAAGGTTTGTTTCTTTTTGAAATGCAGTCCCGCGCCCGGTTAGTAAACTTTTGTTTCTTATCGATCTTGAGGGGTACTTTGGTACTTCGATAAAAGATGTAATCATTACTGCCTTTTGTTTATCTTCGTTGTTTCTATTATGCATTTTCGCGATTAGGTAAATTAATGAATAAGGTGAGCGCCAGCAGATTCTAAAGCGTTCTGGAACGGCGATGATGATGATTCGTCAACTATTAACTGACCGGTAATTTTCTAGGGCCGCAGGACAAGTTTGGGCCGAAAATGACAACAGGCTGTTACTTTTCAGCTCGACCGTTCCGGAGCTTGTTTCTGACTGCCGGTTTGCAATCTCATATGCGTGTTCCATCGTCACATGGCCTGATAGTTTGTCGGTCACTCGCGTTATATCGTAATGGACTGTTTCGACAAACTTTCTTTGCCTCTGCTCTTGTTACTAAACTGTAAGAGTCACTTTGCACATTCTTACCGAGTCTGATTCGACGACAAACGAACGTTCCTCTTCGGCAGCTCTCTTTGCTGACTGAAGACGATCGCCCTTATGAAAACGGGGTTGTTTTACGGGCTGCTTGGACAAGTCCGCAAAAATCCCTTCGCCTGTTGATTCTGCGGCTAAGATTTCTAAACCGGAAGTTCGATCTTCACTAGTATTTTGCGCGCGAGATTGCTAAGCGGCCGACCGTTCTGACATTCTTCCTGAACCGGGGAGGATGAGGAAGTTTCATGGCAATTGATTTTTGTTCACTTAATATGCAGCGCATAAATTTCGTTCTTTTTGTTGCTGTACGACTGAGGCCAGCCGGAAGTGCTTCTTTGTTTTAAGACGTCACTGTCAACACCGTAGCTTGTAAAAGCTAGTGCCGATAGTCAGCGATTGCTATTCCTACCCTCAGTTGTCAGGTTAGTATGAAATTCACTACTTTGTTTAAGTGACCAAGCCATTGAAAGGATGGAGAGCGGTTCTTCTTCCTTGAAAACTCACAGACCTAAACCAAACTGAGCTAAATCCAGAGATGCTGCGTCATTCAGGACTCGATGCCTGGACCATTACCTCCGGTTAACGTTCTGCTTGGAAGTTAGCGCAGATTCCCTCCAAAAAATGTAAATTTGAAATCACTAACCACAAGGTGAAAAAGGTTGGTGGCTTTCATCAAATCCTCCCGAAGGTAATCAGATGTCGAATAACGGGAATGATAGAAAAGCTCTACACCCATTTTCAGCAGTTATGTACCTCATAAAGTTTCCCAGAAAACTGAATTCATGGAATCCCTATATTAAAGCAGAAGAGCAAACGGTTTCCAACTCTCGGCCATCTTGAAAAGCTTGAGGCTGGTTGTTGATGAGAGAATTGGCTTTAATCAGGCAGGTTTCCGGATGCGATGATCCTGCTCTGTTCAATTTTTCACTCATCGTAGGATTATTGAGTAATGTATGCGAGTTTCTGTGTCTGTAAGGCAGCGTTTGATTCCGTAGTTTATCTAACAATGTGGAAAATCTTTTAAAGCAGTTTGATGCGTGCGCACATCGTTTCTATTTTGCAGCGTTCTGTTCAGGAATCATGTTTAACACTGATTCAGATGAGTGCTATGTGAGTGGTTCCCTATCAACTGTGAAATTTGTCCGGGATATGTACCTTTCACTTTGCTGCCAAATTTGCTAGATCTCGAATATACAGTTTCGCGAAAGATGCCGTTTTCTTTTCAGCTCTTTACACTGTCTATCAGTCATCGTTCGTCCATTCTGCCAGCTTGTATTAGTTTTCTGTTCAGACAGCAAGCCAACACAACTGCTCCGTTGTGAATTTAGCACCGAGGAATTTGAAATTGAAAATTTACTGCCTGAATATTCACAAATGAACCCCGTTTTCAGCGTACGTATTAGAAAATGTGAAAATAGAAGCTAAAATTGATTGCGCGCGAAAGTGCAAACGAGAATCACTTCCATGGTGTACAAGAACATATTAGCACATTAACGGAATTAACTGATATTGTGCTTAGTCAAGTAATGCTGCGTATCTTCGATGCAGTTGCGACTAATGCGCGTTATTTCGCGAAATTGAGACGATAGGTTTTTGGTAGAGCTTTATCCTGGCGTACATGTTAACACTTAGATCTGGTGGATGTGCCGTGCGGCAGATTCTGTCATGCGATCATGAAACATATGAGTGTAATTGCTAAATAGCGACAGACTTCGCCTTAAATTTGATTTAAGTAAATACAAATTCTCCTAAAAGGGCAGCAGAAAAGGTTTTGAGTTATAAGAGTTTTACTTAACACGTCTACGTTACTCGCAAGCCACCTGACATCGGTCTTCAGCAAGGCAGACACCCCACGCGGTGTGACCGTGCTCCTTCCTCACTCGCTTCCCCTGTTACATAAAACGGGACAGTACCATTACGGCACTTCAGTCCGGTATCAATAGGGAAAAAGATAATTTATCTTAACGGTATTATCGATAACTAGCAGTATGCTAGTGAACCCGTAAGATCGGGTATTATTTTATATATAAATAAGCGTTTCTTGTTTTAGCTTTTTCTCTGTTTCTCTTGCGATATTACTTGCATTAATACTTACATGCTGAAATTAATCGATGTGTGAATGAAACTACGAGAAATAGCCTTTAAAGCATGTTGATCACTACGGCATCCATGTACTGTTAATATGTACGCAATAGGCTATGGTTAACGGGTAGGGGTGAGTTAAATCCGAATTGCGTAAAGCTCGTATTACGTAAAGGTTAGCAAAACGTAATTCTTACGTAACTCTGGGTACGTCTGTGTGTTATTTTTCATGCGAATGCCGTGTGAAACTGCTGATTCGACAGCATTGCATACCAAATGGTTTAGAGGAAGGCCACTACGTCATTGAAACAAACTTGTGATTGTTTTATTGTTAAAATCACGTGCCAATAACTCAGGAAAGAAGGCAGTCGTCCCGTAGGCGAAAGTGGGGAAATACGTGCCAAAATGGAGTTTTTATCACTTCATTGTGTACATACAAGTTTTTGAGTTTTCTTTATATAGGATAATGCTTTTAATCCTTCCATTCGGGTTTGTAGTCGCGGTATCCTTTTAAACGTAATTTATTAGAAAGCATGAAGGGTTGACCTCATAGAGCCTTTTCCCGCTATCATCTGTCATCGCGAAGTTTTGAACCGAACGAAAATCGCGAATCCAGCATCGTTCAGCTTTTTCTCTCGGCCAGGTAACGATCACAAATACACGTTGCCTTCCTAACCGACTGTTTCAGAGTTCATGATAGGCTTTTTCGACTAACATAGGGTCATCGTACGTTGTGATGCGCGTCGCCTTGTCCTCCGTTACTTTGTTCTTTGCATTCTGTCCCTTATGCGAACGCCGAGATTGAATGATGAAATCTGATCTCTGATCTCATCATCAGAGCATTGATCTGCGTGATGGCTGTAACGTATTGATTTATATTTTTACATGTGCAGTTATACTGTTGCTGCACAATTTCATTGTCGTGTTAACTGCCTTCGAAACAACGATGATTCGGGCATAAGAGGAAGATGCCTCAAAAGATTCTCGCCAGCTCTCTCGCTGGAGACCGATCGCTGTATCTTCGGGTGCATTCCAGTGTCTCGAACGGCTGTTAGTGCTTTGTATTCGGCAGTACATCGAGAGGCACGTGGATCCGCATCAGTTCGCTTTCGGCCACATGAAGTCGACGTTGCCGATTGCGATTGCTACTTTGACCCGTTTTCTACCGTAAGCAGTCTCGAACGTCTGCGACGTAGAAATTTTGGTTTTCTGATACTTGAGCTCTGCCTACAGTACAGTATCCTGTAACGACCCTGACCTGTGGTGGGTTTTGCCTGCATTGCATTTGCATCGAAGGAAGAATTTCGTTTGTCTCTACCGCCTGCAAAGACCTGCCGATCATCGACCTATCGTCATGTCTAATCTTTTAGGCGCACGCTTTGCGTAGATAATTGTAGGTCTACCACGGCGCTGTACCCAAGTTCAGTTGGCCCTCACAGGAGTTTATGGACGACATCATGATGGAACAACACTAGTTGAACTGTACGACCTTGCTGGATGGGAGTCAGCTTGTTTCGCGCGCGCGAGTGCGTGTTGAGATCACCGTGAACCACAGAACATCGCTGGTTTAAGATGCCTGCTGTATTCGTGGCTTCTCAACGCTTTTGCTATTAGACATCGTAGAAGGACATATCCCTCATTGTTCTTCCATGTTGCACGTCGGCCGCCTGGTCGACCTCTGCCATGTCTGTTGTCTGCTCCCACATGAGGAACCCATGGACTGGATTAAATTGTTTATGCTCAGCTGGTTTCTGTCACAGGGTCAACCTCCTTTTCTTAATCATTTCCTCATCTACGGCGCGTACCGGTGCAAAAAGTAGGATAGAGGCGTTTGTTCGACTTCTTTAGAGCCACGTTCCAATGATTCCCGAATACATTGCGCACACTGTTTCTTTCGACAGGTACTGTAAAATTTCTGTACGCTTAATTGCGCTTCCTGATCATTTTTGTACATTCGCTGATATGAAAGGATCCATGAATAAATCGGGCACGACGACAGAATGATTTAAAATATATGCAAATTAAAGTGAACAAAATAGCAGAAATAAATATTTCGAAGGACAGCACAAAATCCTGTAGTTCCTCAGAACAACGGCCTTTTAAGGTCTTGGTCAGCGAGAGCGGTGCGACGATTGAATGCGTGCTCTTATTTTTCCTTCGTTTTTTGTAGGCGCTCGAAGCGCAGCAGAATGCTCAGAAGTCTGCATTGCGTTTTGAACGGGCTAACAGCCTGCACGCAGTCGCCAAACAGCAGGTAATGCTGACGCAAGAAAGCCTGAATCGTCAGGGCACGTCTAATGTCGACCCTGCTTGTCTGGAGGTACTCAACCATCACATACAGCGCGTCAACGAGGCAGAGAAGGAACGCGTGCAAAGCGAACAGCAACACGTCCAGATGTCGAGGTTGGTCGAGCAGGCGACAAAGGAGGTGTCAGCGTTGGAGTCCAAACTTAAGGTGGGTGCGCTTTCTTTTGTGTCATTTTTAAGTTCATCTGTTTACTTGTTGACGTTACGACTTTGTGGCTTCTACCGTATTCACTCGTACATATTCTCGTTGCCGTTATCTCACTTTCAGGACTCTTGTTTATAGAAAAATTATTTTTCATTGCTTAATCTATTACTGTTGTTATTTCATAGCTCAGTATTTGATTTAGAGCGATAGGTTCCCTAGATTACGTTTTAAGGTCTACCAGATGTCAAGGAAACAATTTCAGGTCTGGAAATTTCGTTTTTTAACGTATCTTGTCTCAACAAAATCTCATTCACATTTTTCAAATGTTTTTTTCTCACAAGTTGTGATGAGACAGTCTCCAGTCTTCCACGACGAGCAGTCCTTAGATAAACTGTGAATACCGACATGTTACTTTCTGTATGAAAGGCGGTTAAACATTCAGAGCAATGTTCCGTTACTGAATAAGTTCTTGCTAATCTTTCTTCGCTTCATGATGAGTCGGTTGCTTGCCAGCAACTTCTACATGCTGCTGGCATACCAAGAGGCTCTGATATCATTCTGACACTCTATTTTGACCCAAAATGGAGCTGTGACATTGAATAAGTCTCAGACACGACGAGGTCAGAACGAAATAGATATAGAGCTAGTAAGAAAAGTATTCCCCTGTACATTTTCTTATTGTTGGCCGGCTTTCACGACGTGGAAGAAAAATCGTGTTTTGGTCGCAAAACTAAATTGACGCAACATCAAAATACGGTGTTGTGGTAATTTGTTTTTTCGTACTCCGGCTGACTTTTAATCAGCGTGCCGTCCGCTATATAGAAGTTCTTTAGAGAAGTATTCAAAAATCGAAGCACTACTTTGACATGCGGGTGGAATTCATGAAAGTGCTCCAGAACCAGAAGGCGCTCATTGAGCGCTTGCAGGAGGAGATACGGCAGAAGAAACTGGACTATAATACGTCGCTGCACAACTTGGAGCATATCAGCGAACAGATTCACGAATTGCGCAATGCCGGCGAGAGCAGTGAAGGCGCAGATGACAACTTTCCTAAGGTACTAAGCGCTGTCTTCGCGTTGTGTTTAGTGCTAAACATGGCTTTTGCAGAAACAGCCTTTTACAAGCGGCTCCATTCACAGCATTGACCCCATGGACCAGAGTGTGTTTAAGCAGCCGTTTAAAGAGCCGTACACCGAGGAGGGCTTGGAAGATACTCTGCCGTGCGACCCGTTCATTTCCGTTTCGCAGCCGAACACTGAGAGTAGCTCGATGAACAGTAGGAATAGCAGCATCCGCGCGCAGGGTGATGACGACAGTTGTTCGTTGCAGAGGGCCATCAACTCCGGTGTGATTTTGTTGGCACAGGAGCTGGCTAGTCGTTATTCAGTTTCCCCACATGAGTTATTCGCCTTTCAGTTCCCTCCCGAAGATCTGGACATGGAGTACAGAACTGCTCCAGAAGGCATTTCCTCAAGCAGCTCGAGCGAGGTTAAGGCCTCTAAGAACAGTTGGTCTTCAAGTCGGCGCTCATCATCTGATATCTCTACCACCAGCGCCGGCTGCCGACCGGTGTCTCTACAGTTGCCGTCGGACGTGACAGTACAGGCAGTAAAAAATTCCATGGCTGAGCACAAAGCAGACGTCGCCGAACCGTCTTAGTGTCTAAAATTTTTCACCATATATGAATTATTGAGTCCATTGCCATAACTTGCCCAATATGGCTATGTGCTCTGTTGTTTGTGACTCATTTTTTACGGTCGAAATTATTTCGTCTGCAGAAAGTGAAACAGTAAAAACTGTTAACCCTGTTGTTCACAAGATACGGTGCATATAGCAAACTGACGAACAGCATCTCGGCGTTTGCCTTTTTGGGTCACAGAACGAAATTTCACCGCTGTCTGAGAAAGTTCAAATGTTTCACTTTTCATATTTAATTGTGTCAAAGAGATAAGAATTAAGGCATTAATGTTTAGAGAAGATTTCAGTAACTAACGTAAATTTTTTCGTTCGTCTAGGCAGACACCAGTAATGATATCAGCGCTGACATTTGACAGAATGATAAAATATGTCGTTATTTTTGCATAATACTGTTTGCGGTTTGTTGCCGTCATAGTCGTTCTACAGGTTTCAGCCTCCGGTGATAAAATGAAACGGACAAGTGAGAGGGACGCTTTAGTGATTTATTGACCAGTTGCTTTTGGACACAGTCGATATAGTGCGAATGAACACACTGATGGGTGATGCAAACATCCGGAACACTCCGCGATACCGCGGGGCCCTGTATATTTGTTCCCCTTTTACCTTTATAGTGCTTCCTTCTGGCTCTATGGACACTGCATTAAACTGGCCTGTTTGTCCTAGATGTCAAATATGGTCCTCGAAATATTTTCTTGGAAAATGTAAGTGAGGATATAAATTCTCCCTATATCTATAGTTGGGTGGGCGACCGAGTGATCCATTTATCGGAGTATTAGTGTCCGCTGTCAAATTCTGGAAAACTCCTGTCCTAGACTATCCTGGTCAGGCTAAGTGCGTTAGATGATTGAACACTCCATCCAAACTAGACAGGCTTCCGGATAGGATATTCATACCGTGGCAAAATTTTCTGGATCTTTGAGCAGTGCTAACAATTCCACTGTTCTTGGTTTTCCCAGTTTCTTCGATTTTAAGGTTGTATCGCCACGCGGCGGAGAATCGTAAAGTGCTGTGGGATACCTGCAAGCATCGTTTTCATTCTGAAGTAGTTGTGTACAGACAACATGTCTGCTGCCAAAGTCGGAGTAAAGCTGTCTGAGTGGTTTACTATTAGATGCGGAGTTGGCCTGAGAGCCGTTTTCGCATTTGTTAAATATTTTTCTCGATTTTCTTGTCCAAACAGTGCTGACCTTGACAAAGACGAATGCCGCTAGAATGTCTCTAGGAAAGACGTAGTTCTAGATACCGAACTTAATATCTTACTAACCTGGAGGATGTGGACAACATTGTCCTTGTGAGTAGTACGAGAAGTGGACTCTGTGACCTGAAGTTTTCCGAATGCAACAGCTGCGAAAGCCGGCATCTGCTGTAATGCTCGGAAGTCCAACTTTTTGAAGAATCCCTCAGACATGGTTGATCTACTAGTGGCTATAAAAGGCAAGTCACAGAGACTTCCTATAAATTTGATTTAAACATCTCGGGACAGTCATTTTCAGCATTGGCACCATCTAGTCAGAAGTAAAGAGAAGGATCGCCCTCGCATTCAGTATTTTTTTAGACTTGTCAGATATTTGGGTTAAGAAATGAGTGTCTTTTCTGTCAAAAATCCGCATGTAACATGCCTCTTTCAGGTCATTGTTGATTATGGGATGGAAACAATTATTTCTACGAAGGAATAAGAACGACGGTTTAACTGCGTAAAACAGCGGTGGCTTCGACGCACGATTGGCTAAATGGCAGGACCACATAGCGAATGACCGTTACGATCGCGTTATGACGTTCATCAACCGGACACCATCTGCTCGCTTATGATGCAGTGAGACTGATCCATGGAAATGGACAAAACAACTTCGCAGATGACCAATCGGTAGCACACTGAAATTTACTTAACTGGACCATGAGGTACAAGATATATTCTCAAAACCCTGGATATGATAATGAACAAATAATTATCAACAAAACGTGCAGTGAATGGGTCCGTACAAAGCTGAGCAAAATTTCGAAAACTTGTCCAAAATTACAGTTTTTTCATGGAATCGGACAGCGAGCGTTAGCTTCAGTCAGGCAAGGGCACAGGCATTTCCTTTGGCCGTTTCGATGGGCGCTGTTGGAAACATTGAGGCAGCGGATGACTTGGATAGTTTGGAATAGAATTTCACAGAACAACAATGAAGTATCTTGTTAGGATGGACCCAAGCTCGTTAGTTCCGCAGTTACAGAATCAGCCAATTAGCTACTAGAGGCTCCGGGTGCGAGCCACTGTTTTCTCTGGAAACGGCAGAAATATTCCGATGCAGCATAGAGGAAAAGCGGATGAATTCAGGGTCTGGTGATCTTTCAGTACTTCTGAACTGGCACTGAATCTGCACAGCACCGAAACCGATACAAATCATTGCATTAATCCGTTGTTCCTAGCCAAGGCTCTCATCCACATTCAACCTAAGGTATTTTACCGCAGACAATTTTTTCAAACAAGCTGCGGAACTGTGCAGTTCTTAAAGCAAGTTTCGTACTGAGCCTGCTTACATACCTTACAAAATGGAAATTGCGTTCACTGATTTCTCTTAACTGAATGTTAGGCTACTATCGCTCATGTAATCTCCGTACCTCCTGAATGGAGACAGTAAAACGCATTAATTCAGGTCTGGACTGTATTGAAGATAATGAAGCAATATTCTTAACGTTTTCCACACACTTGGTGATAGCATCAGACCAGATTAGTGATT